GTGGATATCCTAACTGGGCCTTCCTGAAAGCAGAGAAGAAACCCAAATAGGACTCCAGTCAGCCAACAGGTGAAAAGGAGGAACCCAGACCCAGACCAGTGGTCATTCCGTATGTTGAGGGAGTATCAGAGAAACTGAGACGTTTATTTTCTAAACATAACGTCCCAGTGGCTTTTAAACCCCAAAATACATTACGGCAAAGACTGGTTCATCCCAAAGATCCAGTCCCCCGGCACAAACAGAGTAATGTTGTGTATGCTGTTCAGTGTCAGGAGGGTGATCAGTCTTACATCGGGGAAACAAAACAGCCACTGGCCAAAAGGATGGACCAGCACAGAAGATCGACATCATCAGGCCAGGACTCTACGGTCTACACTCATCTCCAGGCCAGCGGTCACTCTTTCAGGGATGAAGATGTTCACATCCTGGACAGAGAGGAACAATGGTTTGAGAGAGGAGTAAAGGAGGCCATCTTTGTGAAAAGAAATCGTCCATCATTAAACAGGGGTGGAGGCCTCCATGTTCAACTGTCCCCCTCTTACAATGCTGTGATTGCTAGTATCATTCAACCCCCCTGTGAATAGTAAACAGCCATCAGTGTGCTAATGATCCATTGTTAGGCTGATGGTCCTTCTTGAGCATGTGAGCAGCTGGTTTTGGTTGTCAGCAACAAACTGGTTGATCCACTCTGAGAAGGTGCTATTTAAGAGACTGAGCTGAATACAGCACCTCAGACTGAGGAAGTCTCTCGGATGAAAAACGAAACGTTTCTACTTTTGTGTTGTTTTGCTTTGTTTTGTTTTTTGAATGTCCAGATGACCAGATTGAACTTTTTTAGACTTTTCTACCTGGATTATTGAGCATGCATCAGGACTAATGAAGTGATTTTATTTAAAATTATGAAAATGTTGGGGATCAGCTCATCTACCTATTAAATTGATTTTGATTAGGGGTCTAAATGTTTTCATCACGAAAATTCTTTCATTTTATGCCCCTGGATATTTTTCCCAGTCATCTGAGCAGTGAACACTCCCTGGATGACAAAAGCGTGGCCCAGTTCAGAGTCCAGATTCAGGTGGTCCAGCAGCTCGAGCTGCAGGTGAGTCTGAGTACGCCAACAATGTTGCTGTATTATTATTAGTATTATATATTAGAATCACAAGATCAAAAATACATTAAAAAGATTTTCTGTTTGTATTCATTGTCCCATTTTTTAAGAGAAGTTTTTTTTTTCACGTTCCACCATGAAAGGCAGGTAGAAATTGCCAGTGTGCCTGTATGCAAGTGTGTTAGCAAAATATTCAATAAATCACTGGACAAAAATTTTACGAAATTCTCAAAAATAATCATTGAATATATATGTGCAACATATTGAATTTTACAGTAAACTTAAGTCAAGATGGCCACTTTAGCTAAATGATCTAAGCAAAGACAAAATGACTACAATTCAGTACATTTTACAGATATTAGGAAAAAAATTGGTGTAAAACTAGTTGAGAGTCCTGAACAAATACTCCCAGAGCTAGCAGATTGCGTGGAATGTTTGTATTTGAAGCCTTTGCATGCAGTGCAGCAAACAATAGGTCCAGTTTAACCCCTTTGCTTACAACATCACTTGAAAATCCAAAAAAGTTCAATCTGGTCCTCTGGACATTTAAAAAACAAGAAAACAAAAAAGACAAAAAACAAAGCAAAAAAATGTA